ATCGATGGTCACTGTTGTCCGCCGAGGCGGACACACCGGCGCCGCCGCGGACGGGGGCGCCGTCGGATTCACTCGCAATACGCCGGCGCGCGTCGGGGCGCCGGCGAAATCGCGCACTGCCACTGAGCTACGCGCTCAGCGGCGTTCACTTTGGCAGCCCACTGGGGGTGCCCGTTCACTTTAGCAACCCGCTGGGGGTGCCTGTTCACTGCGGCAATCCACTAGGGATGCCGTTCACTCTGGCAGCCCGCTGGGGGTGCCGTCGGAATCGTGCGCGGTGCACGATTCCGTCACTTCACTGACACCGGCGCACATCGGGGCGCCGGTGGAGCCGCGCACCGCCACCGAGGACTGTACTCGGTGGCGTTCAAGTGGAGACTGCCCGCAGCGACTCGAGGAGCCGCCGCGGGCACAAAGAACAATCAGTCGTACATCTAAAAGCAATTAGAATATGAAACGAGAAACCTGTGAGAAGAGCCAGAGCAGGCTCGCGCGGCACGTTCGGTTATACGATACGGCGGCGGCGAGCACGAACAGCCGTCAAGTGTGAAGCGATAGCGCGAGTGACAAATTGTAGGCAATTAGAACTTGAGACGAGAAACTAACACAAGAGCTGGTCCAGGCTCACGGGGCATGACCAGTACTGCGATAGATCACGCGTGGCTGTCAAATGTAAAACGAAAGAGAAGAACAACAGGGCAGTTCATTTCGTCGGTGACACACTCCTCCCCTGTGATCGACTTAAGACGGGAGATCACACAACCACTGAACACCGACGGAACATTCTGTACATCCACGAGATTCACGACTTCGCTACGCAGGTTCTCGCGAGTTCTTCCTAAACTACACAAGCACCTATACAGATTTATGGTACACTACCTATATCACTTAGTACTAAATCATAACGAATGCAAACACTTTCGGCACCTTCACAATCGTTCATTGCGCTAGACCTCGTCCCTGGTCATCTGCACATTAGTTCACTGGTCGCGTCACTTCGTCACTTCTGACGCCAGTCTCCGGTGCGCAGTGTTCGGCTACACCAGAAACGCAACGCGAGTGTTCACACGGCGGTTGCCGGTTTCGGTTGTTGTTCACCAGAGCAGCTGATGTGTTGTCCTTGCAGCAGTCAGCTGATCGGTCGCTGCTCTCAGTAGGTCAGCAGGGTCCTTCGTCGCCTCAGTTTCCCTCGGTACTCAAGGTCAGTGTCAACCGGCAGCGCGGCACGCGCCACTCAGCTGAGCTCCCCCACCTCCAGATGTCACGCGCGCCTAGTGGCCGGCTGCGCGGACGGGGGAGGGGAAAGCGGTCCATGTGGCGAGCCGGGCTAGAGGGGGACACAGGAAAAGACATAAATCTCGGCGAGTTTGGTGTCTGCTCCACGGGACGGAGGGTGAGATGAAGTTTCAGAAATGGTCTAAAGGCCAGGCTCAGTGGGTCAGTAGGAGCACGGTCGAACTACAGCTGACAGGATGTGGGAATGATGTGGCGACAAACCCGTTCACTACAGCTGAACTGCTTCTTCTAGGACAACGACCACGGTGACCGGCCGTGTGTGGGTCGCTCCATTCGCTGTGACGAGTCGTACAGCGCGCACTCGTCCGTCCGGTCCTGGCAGGGGCTCTGTTCTCGAACCAGGGACCAGAGTCCTTTCGATGTGCCAGGTTTTGGGATTTTTTCTTTCTTCCAACGGCTCCGGATGTGTCGTAGCATCCAGAGTTTCTCCTTGAGGATCTGCACCGTGATCCGATACGGAGCGGCGATCCTCACGGGGTCGAAGATAACCGCAGTTCTCCTGAGCGCTCCTCGTCTGGTCGTCTGCTTCTTACTGTCTCGGAACTGGGCACTCGGCGAGTCTCGCTCTTCGTCCCAGACAGCACCCAGAGCTCCTTCGGCAGGGAGATAGGTGTCATCGTAGTCCGCATCGGGGTGTGCTTTTCTCACATATGGTGTGCTGCTTTGCACTTCACTCGTGTTGTTCATCTGGTTTTCGTGCCGGAAGTCTTCCTTTGTGAGCAGATCGGGACAATCTCTTCTTACTGCTCTGGCGGCCTCTGACACGGTTCGTTCTGGTTGATGGACGTCGTCCATACAGACACTGCTGTGTCGCGCTTCCGTGGTCTCTGTCTTCAGTTTGACTTCTGCATCTACATAATGATCGGTGACTGTTTTCTGCGGCACAAGGTCAACGGACGCCAGCCACGATTCGGTTTTGAAGACGGCTTCTTCCTTCTCGTTCTGGTCTGATTCTTCTCCGGCGTTCAGGTCCGGCAGGAGGCAGTTTTGAGCCGTTCTTTCTTGTCGGATGAACTGTTTCTGATCACCCGTCTCCTGGATATCCGCTACGGAGGCCACAGCCCTTTCACGGAATCGTTGCGGGACGTCAGTTTGACCTTTCCGCATGTCTGACTCAGCGGGTGGTCGATTGCTGCACAAGGCGCCAAGCACCTGGGCACCAGCGTCGGAGATCACCTGGATTTCCGGGTCTTCGCTCGGTTTTCTGGCTGAGGGATGCTGCAGGGAATTTGCTGCCTCAGCTGTTTCACCTGGGTTCAGTTTTTGGAGGCGTCCTTCTTTCGAGCAGGATTCTTGAGTCGCCTCTTTCAGGTTCTTGTTGCTAGCGAGTTCTTTTTCCAAGTTCAGCAGGTCTGGCCCAGCGGGTAGCTGGTTGTCGAATGAGATGCCAAGTACCTGGGCAGTAGCGATGGAGATCCATCTGGTTGTCACTTTCTGGCTGTCCGTAACTTTCAAATTCTGGACACTTTCTGACGCCGGTATCTTATCTTTGGGTAACTCGTCGATCCAAGATGGTCTGCTTATCTGAGGGCTAGCTGGGACGGGGCTAGCTTGGAGAGGGCGGTGGAGTGATAGCAGAGGTTGCGGGAGTCTCGTCACTACCGTTCGCTGTCCCTCCCGTTCAGCTTTCATGAAGTCGTCCCTTCTGCCGGCGTTTCGACGATCATTCATCTGCTGTCGCCATTGTGCCTCCAGCGCAACTTGTTCCGCTTCGTCTTTGGCGATTTGTAGTTCAATTTGTCTTTTCATTTCATCTTCCTGACGCTTCAACTCCGCTTCTTGATTCTCTATCTCCAGTCGTTTCTCCAACTGCTTCACAGTCAGAGCTTTCATATGCGCTGTGAGCCGAGCCTCAGCAGCGGCGCGGGAGACAGACGAACTGCAGCTCACCTCTGTGATTTGCTGTAGTCCGCGCTGTATTCTTATTTCATCATCCAGTCTTCTCAGCTCCCTCTCCAGACGCCATAACCCTTGTAGCGTCTGCCTCTTCAACTCATCATGTCGGCGCTTCATCTCCAGTCGTCTCTCCAACTGTTTCACATACAGAGCTTTCTTGCGCGCTGTGAGGCGAGCTTCAGCAGCGGCGCGGGAGACAGATTCACTGCAGCTCACCTGAGACGCCGCGCGGCGGGCTGAGCCGTGACTCCGCCGCGAGTCAGGGCGCGGCCGCTGCAGCGTCGAAGTCTCCATGATTTCTTCTGTTTCTTTCATTTTCTGACCTACGCCGATAGCGCCTTCACGCTACGTTTTCTTTTTCTGTTCTTGTTTTTCCATTTTCGATGAAGTTTCCTCCGCTTCTGATTTCTTCTGGCCTGATCCGGCCCGGAGGACCATTAAATGTCGCCGACCTTGTCGTGCCTCTGGTGGAGGCCGGGACATTTATTGTAGCGGAGGAAAAACGTAGGTGACTTTTGAAGAATATATTGAAGAATTCCGGACGATAGATGATGTTGAACGGTAGACGAGGGTGAAATTGAAGAACGCAGAGTAGACAGGTAGACCAGAAAACGCACTAGCACTATCGATGGTCACTGTTGTCCGCCGAGGCGGACACACCGGCGCCGCCGCGGACGGGGGCGCCGTCGGATTCACTCGCAATACGCCGGCGCGCGTCGGGGCGCCGGCGAAATCGCGCACTGCCACTGAGCTACGCGCTCAGCGGCGTTCACTTTGGCAGCCCACTGGGGGTGCCCGTTCACTTTAGCAACCCGCTGGGGGTGCCTGTTCACTGCGGCAATCCACTAGGGATGCCGTTCACTCTGGCAGCCCGCTGGGGGTGCCGTCGGAATCGTGCGCGGTGCACGATTCCGTCACTTCACTGACACCGGCGCACATCGGGGCGCCGGTGGAGCCGCGCACCGCCACCGAGGACTGTACTCGGTGGCGTTCAAGTGGAGACTGCCCGCAGCGACTCGAGGAGCCGCCGCGGGCACAAAGAACAATCAGTCGTACATCTAAAAGCAATTAGAATATGAAACGAGAAACCTGTGAGAAGAGCCAGAGCAGGCTCGCGCGGCACGTTCGGTTATACGATACGGCGGCGGCGAGCACGAACAGCCGTCAAGTGTGAAGCGATAGCGCGAGTGACAAATTGTAGGCAATTAGAACTTGAGACGAGAAACTAACACAAGAGCTGGTCCAGGCTCACGGGGCATGACCAGTACTGCGATAGATCACGCGTGGCTGTCAAATGTAAAACGAAAGAGAAGAACAACAGGGCAGTTCATTTCGTCGGTGACACCATGCAATGGTGGCGATGAGAACGACCGGTAGAGCCAGTTATGATAATGACACTCGATTGTGGACGTGACGACGTGTTTGGATGGTCGTTTTCCGGACACAATACCGTACTGTCTCGGTTAGTTTGTTTCATTATTTGTGTCTTCAATTGAAATTGCCCCAAGCTTTGAGCGGAATGACTTCCAAATGACACGTTTGGACAATGTGTGGAGACCGTATGGTGTCTTGGGTGTGGGTGCGTTTTTGTCCTGACCGCATAGTCGTTATTTCAGCTCGGCTGAATATCGGGTCTCATGAAAGGTAGATTGACGCCTTGTCCTCCACTGCTAACCCTCAATGATTGCAAGGCTCGATGATATCGGGTTCATAGTTCTTCATGACTTGCAGCGTGCCCTGTCATATCTTACGACTAACCAGTGCTTCGTCGATCCATGCGCTGACATATCGCACCCTTCTGTTCACAGCTTCAGATCAAGGGTCTGTGCGAGGTGAGCGCCGAGCGGGCGGGCGGGGGCGGCGGTGGGGGCGGGGGCGGCGACCAGTCGTCGTCGCCCACCACTCCCTCGTCCCTCTCCACCGAGCGGCGGCTCAACGAGATCCGACCGTCCCCGCACAAGTTCCTGCGGCGGCCGGCTGGCGGCGCCACCGGCGCGCCGCTGCCGGCCCGCCACGGACCTGAGGGCCGGCGCAAGATTCACATCGGGGCCCCGCAGCGCAAACGGTCCGCCTCGCAGGTACGGACAGTGGTCACTGCCGGAGGCGGGGAAGGCTGGGTCGTGGGTCAGGGAGTCTGATCCTGGTGGGCCAAGCGATCAATTATGACCGACAGATGGCGCCACTTGGGGAGGGGCAGACGATAACATGGAGATCATGAAGATCATGAGCTAAAATAATCATGGAGCTACATTGAGGTCCTCGCAGAGCTATGTATATCAAGCGTAGAGCTCCGAACTTACGGCATGCAAAACCCGTGGCTGTGGAATTTGATGGTGAGCGTTTGACAGCGCTAAATGAGCGACGAGTCATACGAGTTCATTCTGCAGAGACGACAGGTTGGGACCGCGCGGTGTCGAAAAGTCAATGCCCTCGTCAAAACGGATGATTCTGGGAATGTGCGCTGCTTAGTAGTGGGACAGTTTTCATTCGTATGACATTTGTGAGGTTCAAATCCGGTGCTATAGTATGACTACTGTAAGTGCACAGTTGCCGTAGCATATTTGAAATGTCACGCGGCTTTGCTGCGAATGAGCGGCTTATAACAGTCGAGCTGGTATTCTGCCTTTTATTTTCCCGTGCTGCAGACATTCTCACTTTGAGTCGGAGAACATGGCGGACTCGCTCTATTTGCCACCCCTGAATATGGGATGATTCCGGCGTATAAAAGAATTACCAGTCGGCGGACGGCGGGGCGATTTTTGCCGATGGCTCCGTGCATGGCGCCGGGGCCGTTTCCGTAATTGGTCGGCCGTTTAATCGGTTTATAATCGCGGCGGACTGGACGACCGCTGGTCGTTCCGCCTCATTCTTTCCTGGCAGTCTGGCTGGCGGCTGGCCTGGCTCCCGGTTTTACTTGCCGGTGCCGGATTTACCGGGTGTGTGTGTGTGGGGGCAGCCGTGGGGACCGCGACACGTAGACGCTTCTGTCCGAGCCGATTCCTTACCTGTGATGTCATCCGGGGGGGGGGGGGGGGCTGTATGAAGAGGGGTGCGAAAGACGCATTGTTATGTAACCAACCAGCGGTGACCGACGCCTGAGTGATGGAATGATGACCGATTGCTAAAGTCAAGTGGCCTGTTTCGCAGCAGTCCCCTGCCGCCGGCTGTCCAGTCTAGACGGATGGTGTGTTTGTTTTCCTCAAGCGCCTTATGCGCTCCGTTAGCTCCAGGAATGTAGGAGGCATGCAGCTCATGTTGTGTGACCCAGAAAACACTTACGGGGCACTAGGTAAATCGGCGTTTAGCGCAGCTAGGAGCTTTTTCCAATCGTATACGAGCGAAAAATTTTGTGGTACCATGACTTCTCTGTTTGGCCCTCTAGGGGCAATGAACCAGCGCGCGGCCGCTGCGCAGCCAAGACGTCCGTCGCGGTCACGTGACTTAGGCTAGGGGACGCGCGCCCGCGATAACGCTGTGTCCCATTTCTGCCTGGTCTGTCTGCAGCGACACACGCGTTGCCGTCCGCCTCCCCGCCGCCGCCATGTCATGTTATTCGCTTGTCGCGTGTTATACCTCATCGGGCTGTCACCTCACCCAAAGACGCTGTTTTCGTGAGAATATAGCCCCGAATCACTTTCGCACCGTCTTTGCTAGCGCGTAGGAGCATTGGAAAATGTTATACATCATCATTCCAGCTTGGCCCTATTCTTGACTATGGTTACTAGCCAGCTGTTTTGTGTATGCTGTATATTTCTCTTCGCCGTCTTATGCCTCTTTGTTTGACCTGACCCTCCTGCCCTGTCCCACAGAGCATGCCGTCGCCCCCGGAGAGTCTGTTCCGGGGTCTGTCCACGGGCGCCGAGCCTCTCTCTCTGCCGGCGCCGAACCCCGACGCGCCGTTCTGTCCCGCGCCCGCCTCTCCTCCGGGCGGAAAACGGAGCCGACACGAGTCGACCAGCTCGGCAGCGGCGCTGTCTGTCAGCGGGCCGCTGTCCCAGCTGTCCCAGCTGTCCCAGCAGTCCCAGCAAGGACAGGGACAGCAGCAGCAGCCGCCGACCAGCCAGGCGCGACAGGCGGGCGACGCTGGCGAGCAGGGTGAGAGATTGAGGGGCGAGGGACGGGGATAGGAGAGGTGGAGAGGAGGGAAGGGATGGAGGTAGATAAGGGTGAAAGTAGTGAGGAGAGCAAGACATCCGCTTCCATCGTTGCGGATGTAATCCAGTGATTCGAGTGAAACTACCCATTGGTGCATTGAGTTCATTAATCAGCCTATCCACGTCCCTCCAATTCGTTCCGTAGTAATTTGATCAGACAGTGGAGCTCACAGCAGACCACTGATCCGCGGTTCAGAGTCTTAAGCCTACTGCCCGCCGAAGTCTACTGCCAAGGGTATCACACTGATGTGTGGCAGCCACAGACGAGCTGAGCCTAATAAGCGATTTTGGAGATTAGAGAGGATCGTTCTGTCTGTAATAAGACGGAGATGCAATTAGGATGACTGCGGTGGCTGACGTTTTATGGTATGCATAACTGTATGAATGCTTGTTTGACTGTGAGATGTTTCTCTATCAATCCATGTTATTCGTGTACATAAGATCATCCGTCGTTAGCTTTTCCCTCTAACGATCACAGTATATGACGAAGGTAACATCCGAACGTCAGCAGTTGCATGCATTTATTCCTAGGGATGACGTCCTTCCGCCCGCTCTCACGCCCCCTCCCCCGCGATGATAGGAGCGTCCCATACCTGTCCGGCCCGCACCTAAACCTCAGCCCTAGTGCTGCACCATGCACACTGGACAAAATTCCAGCGTGTCCATCCATCAGATAGCAGCAATTCATTCCCGTTTAGGCAGCAGAGGCTTTGCACGGTTCGTCAGCGCGCAGTCCGCCATCACGACCCGTCCAACAGGGCCGTCGCCTTTTTGACAGTCGCTGTGTGTGCGGTGTGTGGAAATTGGCCGCGCGTCCCCGTGAGAGAGCGCCGCCGCTCGTTAAAATGTTATCTCTGCAGTGGCCGATTGGTGGCCATTACTGGACGATGCCATCGGCGGGACTGTGGTTAGGTGTAACCGCAATCGGCTTCGTTCGTCCGCCGCGTCAGGCCGGTCGGTGGGACGATACTCGAGGTCATGGAGTCCAGACATGGGCATGGACATTCGGTGGGGAGTCACCAAAAGGCGCCTTCGAGAGGAGAGAGATATGGTCTTAGGCCGAGCGGGAGTAAACCGGTGTTTTCCGCCATATAGTTGGTGAAGGCGAGCTGATGGATCTCCCCGGGTACTCGAAGACTGCTCAGAGAAGCTCGGGTCAGATAGGTTGTCATTGCTTGGTAAAGACCATGATGGGAAAGGTAGAAAATCGTATCCCCTGCCGTGCCTCGTCCGAGGCTAAAGACCTGACAGCTGAGCTCAAACCGGCCTGCAACGCAGGCTATAAATGTACCCACATTTCTGAAATGTCCGCAAGTGAAACGATGCACGACCAGATAATACATTTCCCGGAACCTGCGCACTCGCTGGTAATTATACATGCAAGAACTTTTGCTAATGAATGAATGAAATTTAGCGTGTATAATACGGGATTAGGTGCGCGAGCTGTGCCGAGGCTTAGTTGAAGACAATGTCGGTGTCGTTGGATGATCTCACCCACAGCGATTATCGGCATACTGCAGAGATTTGACAGTCCCGAGCCCCGCTGATCATGGTGTTTGACAGGCGAGAGAAGACAGAGAGAAGTTATCCTCAAATCTGGTAGACAGAGAGTGCGATTTATGATCGAAAGGCATGGAGCTATGTTTGAAAACCGATGGGACTCAACGACGGCATCTATTTGATAGATTCACTTGGATGCTTGCTTTCTAGCAACTCGTAACGCTAGTTTAGTGTGAAACTGGTTCAGCTGATACCCATCGCTGATATCCTGTGCGCGTGATCCGGCTTCAATGCGCAGGAGTTTATGTAAAGTTCTGCGAGAGGAGCCTTCAGCCACCTCTAGCATTGGCACACGATGTAGGATATGCAGTATGTTGACGGCTCAGTGACGCGGGAACCTGCTTACGGAGTCGCATAGCCGAGTCCTACGCGGTTAGTAGCATAGCTGCATTGAAGGTCACGTCGGTTTAGTGATCGCTATCAGCATAGAGGACTGTGTCCAGCCGATTGCTATCAAAACTACACGTGCTCGCCGGGCAGACATTGTTTGCAATGACTGCAACGCTGGCAGTGTACTACCAATGGGCCCGCCATAGGGTATTGTTGCCAGGAGTTGCCAGTGGACAAGCGTGAGCGAACTATGAGCCACGACGGGTAGACAATGGCGGTTCTGTCAGTGGCAGTGGTGACTGTATTTGTCGGAAAGACATGTTGAACGGAAAACGCCGTTACCGATAGGGCTTGTCGATTCTCTTTTCGGGTCTTTGAGGGTCCGGAATACTACCAGACGTTGAAACTGTCTCGTTGAGAGTTGAGACGTCAGCTGACGGTCGATCTGGTGTTTGACTGGCTCTGTTTAATGTCAAACATTGACGACTCTCATTGATAGACGTAGCAGAATGGCGCCTCACAAGGCCGTCTAGCCCACAACTGCCAAATACCTACTGTTCTGTCTTTGCCACCTTAACTTCCTTTCCACAGCGCGAACCGGTCGTTTGCCTGGTTAGTGACTCTCAACCACTGCCTCTCTTGTCCTATTCAACATTCACCATTGCCGTGTCTCCCGACTGTCCCGATGTCCGATCTCTCGTCTAGGACAAAAGGCTGTCGTCCGTCCCCCTCCCGGACACTATGTATTATACAATAGGCTGGCGGGGTCGGCGGGGTCGCCGCTTGCCGTATTAGTATACCGTAGTATACCGAGAGGTCATCCACTTCGTGCTAGTGGTACTGGTAGGGGTATGTCACAGCTGGATCTCTCTCTCTCTCTCTCTCTCTCTCTCTCTCTCTCTCTCTCTCTCTCTCTCTCTCTCTCTCTCTCTCTCTCTCTCTCTCTCTCTCTCTCTCTCTCTCTCTCTCTCTCTCTCTCCCTCTCTCTCTCCCTCCCTCTCTCTCTCTCTCTCTCTCTCTCCCTCCCTCCCTCCCTCTCTCTCTCTCTCTCTCTCTCTCTCTCTCTCTCTCTCTCTCTCTCTCTCTCTCTCTCTCTCTCTTTCAGGTTTGAATTGAAAGAAGGAAACACGTCCATGTTAAACACATTAAAGGAAAAGTGCCACCTTCTTGAAATATGAAGATATCGTTGGTTTTTATTTTGACATTATTATTTTCCATTTTCTTTTCAAAGCCGGTGCCAGAAGTGCATAATTCGCTAAAAAGTATTTCAAACTATTTAACATATTGGTACTATGTTTATACTCTCTACCGCAGCTACTGTATGATGTCATAGCGATGACGTCACACTCAAGCCAATCAGCCTTGAGGAGGATAGACTCGTCGGACTGTAGCGGTTGTAAACAACTTGTCGCCCCGTGTGTCTGCCCGTGGCGCTAGTTATCTGTCGAAGGTAAGGGTGAAAGATGGATATAATGGCCATGGAACGCTATTTTAGGATTATTGGTGAATAGCAAGAATATAGTTTTGGTGGTTTGAAATTGTTTGTCCTCAGTGATTGGCTTGATTCTCATTTTGCGGCATAAGCGGCTGTTTGGTTACATTGCATTTTTTATGATTGTGTAATTATTATGATTATGTTCCTCCAAAGTAGGCATCACATATCAATCTCAAAGGCAGATCATCTTCTTTTCATGCCTATAATTTTCTTCAAGAATATTAATAAAAAATATTCCATTTACCCCTGCCTATCATATATCCCATGGAGCTGCCGGTGGAAGTAGGCATGGCGCATGCAACGTGACCTAGCATTGGCGATGTGGTTAATTAGCTTTAAAGTACTATGGAATGCTAAAGGTCATCATTTAGAATGGTTTTCAAAACATTCCACTAGGAAATATTCATTGAAACCTGAAAATTACTTACAAAATGTAAATGTATAGCCACGTCTCAAGAGCATTCAGCCGTCTTCTCAGTAAATATATAATGAAACATAATCTTACCTGACCTAGCCTTACCTACAACCTACAACGTACGGCATTGGTAAAGCTGGCATCACTGTCAGCGTATATTAGTTTGGTAGGTTGTGGGTAGGTAGGTTGCAGGTCAGTAGGTAAGGTTCGGTTAGGTTAGATTGTTTTTAAGATTCCTTTTATCTACACATTTACCGGTTAGCGCTGACGGTGACACCAGCTTTACCGATACCCAACCTACCACCTACAACCTACAACCTAAAACCTACATTCAATGGTGGCGGGTGGTGATAATTGTTATACCTATATGATAATACTGGAGATAAATACCATACAGATTAGCTGGTATCCATGACACACTTTCTTAAGAAGAAGGTCTTCTATTAAATCATGTCTATTTTATAGGAATGAAATGATTTTTGTTGTAGTCACATTCCCTACTCTGACCATCATGTCTGATTATTTCCAGTTACCACTGACAATGCCCAAAACAAGAACAACAAAGGCCCAAAGGTGGCTGTTTGGTAGTGCGCAAAGCTGCTGGTAAGTGGCATCAAAGGATAGGATGTTGTTGTTGTTATGGGTTAGGGCGCGTAGCAACTTGGCTCTTGCGTCCAACATTTCCAGGCACGTAGCCAGGATTTTGCTCAGGGGGGGGGGGGTCACAGGTTGTGGCCTAGTGTTGTACCCCCTCCAAAAAAGGAAAATTGCTCTGATTAGGCCCACTATTTTGGGGGGGTGTCACAGCTGTTTTTATTTTAAAAAAAATCGCCATCACCGAGGGGGGAAGGGGCACGAGGGCATGGCTCCCGTGCCCCTCCCCCCTCCTTGGTTACGTCCTTGGTTATTTCTGAGAGTTTGGATATCACAAAGCTTTAGATATAAATTAGAATGTAATAAGAAGCTTACAGCATTGCACCTTTCCAGACACTGATAATTCATTTGCCTTTATTGTTTCAAAAGTCAATTTTCAACACAAAAAAAGTTGAAATTATTAACTCAAATAATTGCAAATATATACTTTGGTAATTTGCCTTTCGCATCACTATCAACAAAATAATCAAGGGTGACTAAATATGAA